TTACTGGACCAACAACAACACTTACTGGACGTCCGGCGCGGAGAACAATTAACGAGATAATGAGAACAATTAACGAGATAATGAGAAACTGATGAAACGAGTTGCTTACTTTTAACAGCTTTTTCACAGAAAACTAGTTTTCGCACGTAAGCTCCCTTTTCGTAGACCAGGTCACATATATGTACATACATACGAGAATGTATGACCGGAACAATAGCGCTGGCGCAACCAGCAAATTTCCAAGGAGGAATTAGCGGTAGGAGTACCGAATAAAATTGCTACGCTAGCGTGTGTTTTTTTGTACATAAGTACATACGTACATACATATGTACATCAACGAATATGGCGAATTAAGTTTTAGACTCCCAACGATTAGTGGGTTTTCGCGTGTACGTACATATGTATAGTAAAACCGTTAGAGTAACGGGAATATGTATGTATATATTTATGATTGCAAAATCAAAAAAATTGTATTTTGGGACTTACTTGCGTGTTTGGGGTTTTACCATGGTTGAATACTTATGGACTCTCGCGATGTAAGTTGGATCCCACGATGCAAATGGGGTCCCGCGCCGTATTTTAATTCCCACGATGTAAGTTGTGTCCCTCGTTGAGCAATCCCACGACGCACTTGTTGCAGATATGAATTTGCTTATTTATTTGGAATACCACGTTGGGCAGCCGAAATCGCTGGCAGAATTTTATAAAAACTGTATTAAATTAAAGACTTTACCGATTTAAAGATTTTGGTTGAAAATGCAAACGAGAGTTTAAATTTGCTGCTGCTCGCTGATGCTGCCGAAAATGAAAAGGAGATAATAAAATGACAGTCGCAACCAGTGTGGCCAGGCGACAACTATTTTTCAAAGTTAGTTTTCCCGTTACCAATATCAAATCCGGCTCGAAGGACCATGTGCAATATTTACGATATTGGTTTCGATATTAAAAGTAGTATTTATTAACAATAATGAAATTTACAATATTTAAAGAGAACTATGAAATTATAGTTGAATGCTTACGCATGTATGTATGAATGAGTATAATACAAGAAACTTTAATGTTTGAATGTGACTTTGAATAACAATCGTCTGTATGTAGAAAAGGCGAATGATAATAGACGGAAAGTATGAATAATTTTAAATCACAAATTGATCGCAAGAATTAATATTTAACAATATTAGAAGATTCACGAAGCGAATGATTTTATGAAAATGGAAAGTAAATTAAAATGTACAAGCACGTAAATTACTAAAAAGATAATGCGAATGAATTTATAGATGAGTAGAGGTCCTGATGAGCGGAGATCCCTCGGTGGATGACACGATGTGCTGCTATCCGGCTGGACGTCAGTGGAAAAAAGAAGGAAGAATGACAAGGTGGCGGTTGCATTTATAGGCAACACTGGAAGTGGCCCAATGTGCCAATAAGCAACCCTGGGAAGCAATTCCCGTGCATTTGTCGAACTTCCAACTAGAGCAGGGATGCTTGTAGTGTGGAATTCGAACAGGGATGCATGAACGCAAGTCCTGCAAGAAATTTCAAGCGAACGCAAGTCGTTATGAGCGCAAGTCATTTTGAAAATTTAAGTGAGCGCAAGTCACTTAAACAATATACATAAAAGCGAATTTCTTGTAGAATAAAATGCGCAAAACCTTTTGCAAACAAAATAAAAAAAATAAATACTATATTTTATCAATTACACCTGTTATACGCATAAAACCGCAAAATACGTCGGAAAAAAATTCGTTAAAAATTAAAGCGATTTTTTATCCGCTTAAAACTTTCACTTGTTTCACTAAAATTACATACATAAACAATCTATCTGCGTACCCAAAACTTTTTAAAAATTTAGATTAAAAAGTAGAAAATTTAGATGAAAATTAGTTAAATTTTTCTACGTTCTGTATAAATTTTGAAAGTTTGACTTATGTGGTTTCGGTTAAAGCATGAACCATATTTTTATAAAAAAATAACAAAAAAATTTTTACTTGAAAAACATCAAGAATGATAGAAAAGAAGATTGCGCCTTCGACGAACCGCTATCTT